TTGGATGTATGAATGTTCATAAATACAGAGGACCAAGACATGGTGACCACGTGCTAACACACAGGGGCAGCTGGGGGCAGGGAGTCGGGGTGGGAGGGGCCGTGGGAACTCAACTCTGCTCTTAAGTGAAGGGGTTTCCGAGCACTGTACCTACAATACTGCCTTTCTAAAAGAGAACATATTTCTTCGCTAAGATATGGATGAATATTTTCCAAGAACTAACCAGAAACTGGTAGCTGGTTACCATCAGAGAGGAAAGACTAATGAGGGGCCCAAAGAGAAGATATTTACTTTCCCTTTTTATTTTTAACAGTATATTCCTCCCACGAATTAACTGTTCAAAAGGTATTTTTTTAATGTATTTTAGTACAGGGTCTCACTATGTAGATCAGACGCACAGTGATCCTCCTGTTTTCAGCCTCCCAAGCGCTGGGATTACAAGCAGGCATCAACACGCCCATCTCAGTCACCATCTCAGAGAACCCCAAGGGTGTGGGGTCAGCACAGCATGCCAGGGATCAAACCCCGGTCCCTGCGTCTGCCTAGCAGGCGCTTTAATCCACTGAGCTATCTGGCTGGCCCTCTCAAGAAGTACTTTTTCAAAGCAACCTCAACCCATCCTCACTAATCATAGCACTGTCGTGCAGCTCCGCCTCGAGCCTTATCTGAAAAAAGGTTCTCAGTGTCTTGCTTCCTATTCTCTTATTGCTGAGACCAAACACCCGACACCCAACCTCAAAGCAGGAAAGGTTTCTGTAGTCCGCAGCCTGCAGAGGTCTCAGTGCACACTCAGCTGGCTCTGGGCAGGGCCCAGGTCCTCACTTTGCAAACACCCTCAGCCTGTGCGAGAGGAGCAGGGAGATGGTGCGGGTGCTACACACACCTGCCTAGGGCAGGTGGCCTGCTCACACTGCGAGGGAGAGAAGGAGGCTCGCTGTCCCCCTGTACCTCTGGTTGCCCTGCTGCCTCCTGCAGCCTTGAACAGCTGCCCCTGTGCCGCGCCACCCTGCCTGGGAGCCAGCGGAGTATGGACTGAAACCTCCACAAACTGTGAGAAAAATAAAGTTTTCCTTCCTTGACTTTGAGTGTTGGGTATTTTGTCTCAGCAATGACAGGAAAGTGACCAAAGACAGGGCCCAAGGAGTCTGCAGATGCCAGCCCTTCCTCAGCCCAAGTGCTGATGAACAATATCAACGCGGATGAGGCAAGGCCCTGACAGGACCGCAGAACCAGCTGAACCCCAACATGCAGCGTGAGGATGGAGGACAAGGAGCACCTGCTCTCCCCGGAAGGGCTGCAAGACTCTCTGTGTTGTTAGGAGGGACTAGAGAAGGCCAGCATCCAGCATCCATCTAAGAGCACAAGAGCGAGCCAGGGCCACCTCCTGTCCCCCGAAGGCGTCGCTTGCTGAGGCCCCACCTAGAGCACCACAGCTGAGAGTGGAGACACACACACGCCACTCCGCAGCACCTCATCCCACCTTGACTTCCCCCAGCCCAGGCTGGAAACAGGACAGTGGCACTGCGTGACTGCCGCCCGGGTCAGGGATTTGCTGTTACACATGACAAGCAGCAGCACAGACATGCCCGACCCTTCTGAGCCCTGGCCTGCCCAGTGCATAGGGATGATCCCCAGCGGAAGTCGGTGCTCAGTAAACACTCTCGTGTGTGGGGAGAGAACAGGGGCAGGGAGGAAGGGGCAGGGAAAAGGGAGGAAGAGGAGGGGGAGGGGATGGGAGGGGGAGAGACCGAAGGAGGGAGAAAGCGCAGCTTGGCCTGGTGAACCAGTGGCCATGGCTCAGGAAAGGCTTCGGAGAACAAAGCGTGCCCAGTCGGTTTCCAACCTCACAACTCTGGAAGGCGCACATACCACGGGTTCTAGGAGCACAAGCTCACGCTAGCTCACGCCAGCCTCATGATGAGAAAGTGCAGGGGAGGCCGACGCCCGGGAAGGTCTCACCTCCACTCTGACCTGCTTCCTCTGAACCCAGGCAGGCGGGCCCCGTGAAGTGCAAGTCCAGGGCTTTTCCAGACCAGGCAAAGCTCGCAGATCCTGGCTGGAGCTCACCCACCTCACCTGAGAGCTTGGACAGAGCTGCTGTAAGAGGATTTTACTTTGCGTGGACTTCTAATGGGCTAAAGATAAGCACGTTTCCTTTCCTGAAGATGAAACCCATAAATTTAAAGTACCACAGTGTTCAGAGCAGAGGTGGACAACGCCTAGGACTTCACAAGCCGTCTGACTGACCCCTTCTTGCTGTTTACAGTTCCACGCCACCACCCCCAGAGAGGCAAGCCACATTCATGCTGTGAGATGATTTGTTACGCTAAGATAATTCCAGCCAGACGTTAGCTTGACATCTGAAAGGCAGAGGCTTGACATCTGAGCGCTCTGAGAAATAGTACCTTGATTTTTTAACACTGCAGGCAGGGATGTTTGGAAAAAGCTTCCTTCAGACTAAGGCAGCCAGGCCCCCTTGAAGGCAGGAACTTTCTGAACTTCCTGTTGCCATCCTGGACAGTTCACTTGGGCTTTTGCCTGCCTTTAAACAATATATTACTGGTATGTCCAGATTTACAATCCTGCTATGCAGTGCTCCCACTTTTATGTATGAGGAATTAAGGAGTGAAAAGGCTCCATTAGAGGAGAAAGAAAAAGAAAAGAACCCTGCCCTGTTTTTTCTTCCCCAATTCCTTGTTTCAACGTCAAGTCCCTTTTTGTTAAACAATAGACTGTGATGAGTCACACTCTTGCAAGAAGAAAGAAAACCAATCACCAAAAAAAAGATTGTGCTGTGCAGGAGTCCTTCCCCCTGCGAGGCTCCTGGGCAGCCTGGTTGGGCTTCTTCCCTGGCACTCGCGCCTTCGCCAGCAGGCATCAGGGCTGACCCTGACCGACTTGGCACCTGGGATCAACGCGAAGTGGTTCACCTGTCCCCTCACACTCGGTTGGCGAGATTTCTCACCCACCCGTGCCTTGGCCCTGGGATCCTTTCAAGGAAAGACCTGCAATAAGCTAAAACCAGCTTTCTCCCTTTTCATTTTCCTCGTTCTTTTATTACTTCTTTTCCCTACTTCGAAGGAGTACTAGCGAAGCTAAGAGGGTAGAAAAGAGCAAGAAAAACACACCACCCATCACCCCACCTCCAGACACAAGCCCCACCCACACCCTCAGTGAACATCTCTAACACTATGCTGTCCCTCAGGATGACAGTCACCCTGCACACCCACCCGCTCCAACTCCAACTCCTGTTAGTTCACAAGAATCTGTTTTCCTTTAAAAGCTTCGCTGCACTTAAGGTTTACAGAGAGAATCTACCCAGAACCTTGGCTTAGGAAAAGAAAGACACCTCAGGGGGCAGCGGCAGGACCAGGGAAAGGTCCGGGAGCTGCCTGCCCAGGAGGGACAGGAAGAAATTGCCTGACACCTTCAATGCCAACGCAAGGCAGTAGGTGCTAATTATGTGAAATAACTTCTACATTATAGAAGGTGCCCATGACTCAGGGTGTGCCGCCCTGAGTTTCCGACCAATCAATGTGAACTTTATATTCTAAGGTTTAATAAGTACTAACCCTAGTTACTAGTATCCTCCTCTCTGTCCTGCATTAAACCCCTTGCATCTAGAAACCTTAATTCTTCCCCAGAGCTCACTAGTAGAAGGGGCCTGTGCTTTCCTAAGATGAAGAAGAATAAATTCTGTAAACATAGGCAATAACCTAGTAAGTTACTTTTCATTCACTTTCTTTGTATTCTGTGAAGCATAGAGCATTTGATATTTTCTTCATGTATGAAGACTTCCACCACTAACCCAGCATCAGAAGATAGGACAGATTCCTGTTAATTGTGTACTGCACAAGAACTCATACTTCTGCTGCAGGAGAACGCATCATGGAGTATCATGTAGGCAAATAAAATGCTTACATGAGGGCCAGCCAAATAGCTCAGTAGATTAAAGCGCCTGCAAGCAGGTGCAGGGGCAAGGAGTTCGAGCCCCAGGCCTGCCGTGCCAGCCCCACCCCGGGAGGTAGGGGACACACTGAGACAGCAATTGAGGCTGGGCGTGGTGGTGCACACTTATAATCCCAGCTCTTGGGAGGCTGTAACCAGGTGGACCACTATGAGTTTGATCTAGTAGTGAGACCATGAACACCCTGTAGACCCTTCCCTAAAAGTACAAAAAAGAAAGAAAATTCTTACATTGACCAAAATCTTAAACTGTTTTCTGTTCCCATTAAATAAATGCTAATTCAAATATTAATCACACAGCAATATAATTAAATATTTATTCCAAGTATATCTATAATTTGTGAAGTATTAAAGTAGCCCTGCATGGTTTACACACCACACACTCACAAGTGCATGCAAAACTAAACCTGTTCCATTTCTATGCATGCAGCTCTATTGTGTGCATCAGCATGCACATTTTTCAGAATCTATGAGCATTCTCTAATGAGAATTTTCTAAAACAGTGCCTTCCCGCCATGGAGCTTGTTCACAACATAAATTTGGAAACAAGAAGAAAGGGCTTCTAGAGCACCACTTGGGAAAGCCCATGACGCCTGCGTGCGCCAGCGCCCAGCCCTCAGCACGCTCTCGCCCTCAGCTACTCACGCTCCATGAAGTAGGGCCCAGGCTCGATTCTCCACACGATCTGTCCTTTCTGTGTTCCCGTCACACCCCTGTTTTTAGAATCCCAGAAGTTGGCTGGAGAATTCTCGTCTGGAAAAACCGGGGAAAATCTGTTAGCTCGATTAGAATCTGTTTTCTGTTAGTTCAAAGCCTAATACATCAAAAAGAAATAGAAAATGTAGAAGAAGAGACAGTAGTGAACACTCTTCTTTTTTTTTTTTTTGGACACTCTTCTTAATGGCTCTCTCCCAGCAGGTGATCATCCGGGTCTACATTTGCATTTATCTGGCGAAATGGCAGGTGGGGTAGGAGGCCGGCCGTGGGCTCGGGCAGGGTGGCCAGCATGGCCAGCACAATCCTGCACAGAGCACCGGGTACCATACGGAGGAGCAGAAGCGCACCAGGAGGGCTGGTCCTGCCCTGCTATCTGCATTCTCCACATCTCCCTCACGGAGTCTTTGCTGTGCAGGGAAGGCACAGCCCTCTCCAGGGAGTGCCGGGGTACAGTCCGACCCCAACACCGAGGGAAGCAGGCCCTGCCACTTGGAAGGCAGCCAGGCAGCACCCCACACTGGATGTAAAGGGCGTCCCCGGGGCAGGCCACGTGCAGTCTGACCACCAGACTTCTTGCCAGGAAAGCCACGCTGTACCAGGCAGCCTCCTCTGATCCCTTGTAGGGAGGAGGCCACAGGACGCAGCTATGGCCAGGGAGGCCCTGTGGAAGTCGGCTGGGTGACTTCACTTTGATTCGCACATAGGTCAAGTGAATTAGGAGAAGTTGTACATTCTTTTTCTATTTCCAATAACTCTCCATTCTTTTTGTTTTGTTTTGGCAGAACCAGGGATTGAACTCAGGCCCTTGCGCTTGCCAGGGAAGCACTTATTCTACTGAGCCATCTCCCCGGCCCCTAATTCTCTATTCTTGACAAACACAAACACTTCTCCTATGAACAGCAGCCATTCTAACTGCAAATGGAAAGTTCCTACAAATAAACCAGCTGAGGCGGAGTTCAAGTTACTTCATACAGGCACCAGGGGCTCTATGTGATCGTCACCCGCTATTGCTGGCTAGCAGAGCTGCCAGCTAGCATGCATTGGGCATGCGCACGAAGGGTGCCGAGTCCCATTGTCCCAAGGAGACTGACGTGAAGTAGGCTTCAGATCAAGCCCTTCCTCTCTAGGTGCAGGGTGCTAACACCTCGCACAGGTCACAGTCAGCTACTGTCTGGCCTGCGGCTGCTCTGACAGCAACTGCATTTCTCTGCTCACAGCTTTTCTTCATGGATTTTTTTTTTTTTAGAACAAAAATACCTTTTCCTAGATTTTATAAATTACTCTTTTTACCTTCATTTAAACACCTATGCTGAATGATTCAGTCTTTTAAAAATGTTCCCACTCCAGGAGAACAATGAGTATAAGATGCGACACCAAAGGAAGAATTCTAAATCCTCTGTGAGTGTAACATAGAGATGATCATAAATCTATTTTTTCCTGTAACTGACAAATCAATGAAATACTGGTCTTCGGAACCACCTACCAACTGTTCCGCTTACACTCACAGCCTCCTTTCCCCATTCCTCTCAACAAGGATTCCAAGTCTATCCCTAGCCTCCTCACCACGCTGCCTAACTAGCACCCTCTGTGGAGTGGGGGACCCTCCGTCTGTGGCACTCAAGTAACCAAGGACAGTGGCTGCTGTCCCCTAGCTCTTGGAGCTCCATCAGTCTTCCTGCATCTATCCCTACCACATGCTTTCTCGTCCAGGGTTCAACACATCTTTATGACAGTCACCGCAACATAATTCCTTCCATCAGCCACCTCTCTCCTTAATCTTTTTTTTTTATGAGCAGAATATATTTATTGAGGGAAAGAAAGCTCCTGTCCAAGAGAGGGACAGGAGGGGGGCCCGAGCAGGTAGTCCCCCGGGCATCTTCTTAATCTTTTTAACAAATCTTTTATTTATTCATTTATTTATTTGGTACAGGGTCTCACTGCACAGCTGAGACTTGTAATGATCCTCCTATCTCAGCCTCCCCAGCACTGGGATTACAGGGGTGCACCACCATGCCCAGTTTCAGTGGCCAGCAGGGCCAGCATGACATGCAGTACCAGGGATTGAACTTGGGTCCTTGTGCTTACCAGGCAGGCACTTGGGGTGCCAAGCTATCTCTCCAATCCCTCTTTCCTTAACCTTGACCCTCTCCTTCTAGACCAGGGGTATCTCCCCTGTAATCCGCAGGCCACAGCAGCCCTGGACAGCTCTAAATCCGGCTCTAGGAGATCAATGTTTAACACTATCATGTGGTTCTCATGACTTGATCAGGCAGTGCTCCTGCGAGGACTACGTAAGTGGCAATCTGACACTGGGCAGGGGAGGGACAGGGAATCCCTGACTACAGCCTGTGCCTCCTACAGTGAACTCATAGCCCTCGTGTATCAGGTACTCATGTGACTAGGGGAATAATAAAACAGCAATTCCCAGTAATACTGTGCCAGATCAAAAAATGCAATGCCCTTTTAGAGTTTTAAAATTTATTATAGCAAAAGACACATTGTCATTAACCCCCAAAATATTCCCTCCACTTCAAACACGTTTATCTCATCATTCTTACCACTTCAAAAAGTATTTTTGTTTTCTTTTTTATGCTCTGTCTGTGATATGTAGTAATCGCATTCGCCGTGGGGCCCAGTTGCGTGTGCCCGCTGCATCTTCATCATTTTTACCTTCTCTTCTCGTGCCCGCAGAAGCATCCTCTCTGTTTCTTATCACCTTTCATTTCACTCTGTAAATTATTTGTCTCGCCTTGTCACTTTCTG